AAACCTTTACCCCCCATGAGTGCGCCAACTGTACATAATAAAAGAAAGAGAGAGAAAACTGCCTGCATGATATTACGTAAAAGAGAGATTAGAAAGTAAGATAAAGAGCGAAGCTAAAATTAATTTTTTATGTATTCAGATGTATCTTGCTCGTTTTAGAGTTCTAAAGAGAGAAAATATTAATATCTCAATAATTACGTGGAATTTGTGTTCAATTATCTAAACACTAACCGTTACAAGTGTGGTCGTTTACTCAACACGAGTGATGCATTAAATCAGTATTTACGCAATTGCGCGTAGAAAATGCCGGAAAATGTTAATATTCCATGCTTAAAAAAAATTCCATATTAAAAAAAAAAAGGGAAAAGTGCGTCATTGAAGAAGAAAGAAGATTCTTAGTTGACACATTTTCGCAAATAGCGCACATGCATTCGATTTGATGTACAACTTTGCGCGAAAATATTTGCTCTACTAACAGCGCGACTGCGTTAAAAACAGGAGCCGCTCCGTGCAAACAATGGCAGTGCGGTACTACATCGGTATTTTTCTCTAACAAAAACGTTGAATCAGTGCAAGCAAGAGCATTTGCAGAAAAGTATGTAGAATTGCTTGGCGGGAGTAATCGCTCGCCATTAAAGGTAGCGAGTATATATACTGCGAAAAAAAAACTGCGAAGGAAATTACGATTCTCGTATGCTTCGTCGTTTTCGGTGTTCGGGTGTTCCGGTGCTTAACAACGTATTCTACATTTCCGGTATTCGAATGACGTTCGTATGTATCTAGTTTTAAACTTCTATTTCTAGTTCTAGAAAAAAAAAAACGTTTCTCGCAAAGAAAATTAATGATGTCTGAAATACAGCTAATATTTGATTGTGTTAATTAATATTGTGTCAGTAAATATTTCTGAATTAAATTGATAGAATAAAATTAATTAATGTCAATTATTAAATGACCGTTAAAGAAATTGATGTGTCTCTAAGAATGAGAAAGAACATTAAAATATTTATGCAGTTAAAATTACATCGCCACAAGTTTAATTCTGCAGATATTTTTATCCTTCATTCATGTAAATATAATAATAACATATTGAGATGCAACATATCTGATACTATATTATCGTGTCAACATTTTATTTCTTGCAAGTCACATTTTATAAATACCTTTTTAAAAATTTCATAAAATACTAAAATAACAGAAAACGCATAATTAATTTTGTTGTATCTTACATAGTTTCTATCAATTTCTCGATGCTATTCGTGTACGATTCTATTTTTTTCCATTTCGATTTCGTGAACTGCAAATATTGTCTGTTGATTTTGTTTAATATAACAACGTTTCGCAACTCTTGTAATTTAACTGAATTTTAATTGTTTCACCGTGGCGTTTAAATGTTGACGATAAGATGTTGAAGAATCTGAAAATTTTGTCACGAGCGTGAATAAATATTGCATAATGTTTTGCAAGTCAAGATTGTGGCACAATATTTAAGTACGTAGATACGATATCAAAAATAATAAGTCACTATAAATCACACAGTAAATCACGCTTTTATATTCTGATTTTCGTTCCTATGTTATCTCGATGTTTTACAAGAGTCATGTGTTAAAAAAATTACGTGTTACATATATATGACCTTATGCGATTCTTATGGATTTTAGTTCGGTCGCAGGAACGCAAGATCGTACAAGGCGCTCGATAGTATTCTGACGTGTAATTCACGATGAGTACCGAGGCGGAAAAGGGAAAATATACGACGCCGGGGGGCTCGAAAACCTGGGAATATCTGACCACCTTCATCTGTAAGACGCATCTTTCGACGACGCGCGATTTACGCGCGTTCGATCGGCCTAATTATCAAGATGTAATTCCGTGAAATCCAGGTTCGATCATGTGTATGGGCATCGGAGCGATCATAGGATGGAGCTCGCCGAGTATCGTAAAGCTGATGGCGCCGGACTCGCCGATTCCGGTCACTGCCTCCAACATTTCCACCCTCGTGGCGATGATCGCCGTCGGTCACATATTAGGACCGCCTCTCAGTCAGCTCGTGGTCGACAGGAAAGGCAGGAAAACCGCCATTCTACTCAGCGGACTGTCGGCGATAATATGTTGGGGCCTGACTATAGTCGCTACGAATATCTGGGTGAGATCAATATCTTTGCGAAGTGTCGTGCACAGAACGTCTTATAAGAAATCGACGATGTATCTTTCGGTTGATCATAAATTTAAAGCTGTGCTTAAGAAACCTTTCGAGAAGTTGTAATATTTTTCTGGATCTCGTTGAGAAATTTTCTCGTTTCTACTATATATGTATATATATTTTAACGTATAAATCTTTTTAACGTCACGATGTTGATTTATAGAATTTTCTAGAAGTAGATAGTAGATAATAAATGTACAGCAGCCGTGTCACAAATTTGCCTTTGTTGTAGATTCTTTACGTGACGAGGTTTATGGGCGGCCTGTATTTGGGCCAGTTCGCGCCCGCATTCGCGATGTACATCGGCGAGATCGCGTCGCCGGACACGCGAGGCGCCGCTACAGCCGCGAATACAATAATGTTCAACTTCGGCATCCTCGGCATGTTCATCGTCGCGCCGTATCTGTCGATACCGACGATGGCGGCGTTCTGGCTGATCATGTCCGTCGGCTGTACGATCGCTTTCTGGTTCATGCCGGAGTCGCCGTATTACTTAGCTATGAAGGACAGAATGGACGACGCGGAGGCGGCGCTGGAGAAGCTGCGCGGCAGGACGGACGTTTCCGAAGATCTGCAGGTGATCGTCGAGTCGGTGTCCAACAGTGACGAGAAGCGAGGGAGGACCGGCGGTCTACGCGAACTGTTAACCGTGCGCGCCAATCGTCGCGCCTTCATCATCATCAATCTCGTCTCGTTCACCCACCACTTCGGCGGCTATCACATGATCATATCGTACGGCCAGCTGATCTTCAAGTCGGCCGACCTCCAGATGATCTCCGATCACACGGCCAGCGTTGTGATCGGCGTGATGCAGGTGACCTCCGTGATCGGCATCACCTTTCTCGTCGACAAACTGGGCCGCAGACCGTTGCTGCTCTTCTCCGGCGTCGTCGTGACGGCGTCGAACCTCGTGATCGGCGTCTTCTTCTACGCGAAGGAGTACCTCAACATGGACGTGTCCGCGTATTCGACGGCGATGCTGATCGCGACGGTGCTGCTGGTGTTCGGCTTCAACTGCGGCCTGATGCCTCTGCAGCTGATCCTCATGTCCGAGATCTTCGGTACGGAGATCAAGGCCCTCGCCATTTGCCTTTTGACCACCAGCAGCGGATGCATCGCTGTGGTGTCGGTGAAGCTTTACATTCTGATTGCCGTAACCTGGGGCTACGGCCACTCGCTGCTTTATCTGGCATTCTGCGTGTTCGTGGCGGTATCCACCCTCGCGATCCTTCGTCTCTTGCCGGAGACAAAAGGCAAGACCTTTGTGCAGATACAAAAGGAGCTGAGCGATTGAGGCGAGCGAGAGGCGAAGAATCGGCGCTTCCGCTTCGTTCCGCGCGAGAGAGCGGTATATCGTCGCCCGTAAATCCGTACGCGTCTTCGGCAAAGATAATTCGGCACTATGAGAGATCGCCCGAAAATCTCTATCGAATCTAGCGGGGTCTTTCTCGACGGGAATCGACGCGAAGGAGGAAATTGAAAGTCGCATGCCGCGCGAACAGCAGGAAGTCGAAGGGGATAAACCTTTCAAGATGCATGAGCGAACGAATTTTTGGGCAAACCGCCGCCGTCGGAATTGCTCACGACGCTGATGCACGTTTACGCGATGCTGTATCGCCGAGATTCGCCGGAAGTAGTCCGTGCTGTATCGATTCGTCGACAGGCCGCACTCAATCGCCGCACGTCGTTTTGCACTTTGAATGAGGAAGTAATAAATTTTTGCGCGGATGCGAGCGACGTCGGGGTGAAAAAGAGAACGGCGGCGATCAAGATACGCGGCCGTGTGTGTCGCTCTAAGCTAATTCATAAAATCGCGCATTTCGTATCTCGACATGTTCGATTTCGCGATAGCGAAATATCTTCTTGTACCCTGCCGCAGCTTTGATGAATCGTCCGGTCAATGTGTACGCGTATCGCGTGCCGGAAATCGACTCGTAGGAAAAAAATACGCTTAAATGTAGTAACGTGCCAGAACTTAAAAGCATAGACGTGAAATAAATGTTAAACGAGATTCGATTGGCGATGAGATAGAAGGAATAGCGAGTTTATTTACATCGCAGTGTAAATGGCGATTAAATTATTCAACGTGCGAACAATACAAGCAAGGAAGACTGATGCGAACGTATATTTATCAATTATAAACTAGTCCAATTCTTAGAACACAAATCAAATAATCTGCCTTGAATTTTACATTATCGAACAATGTTTAAACAGTCTCCAATCTTGCGGCTTTTAACAATAATTAAATATGTAAAGAGTATTTATGGTAATCGCTAAGGATAGACTTTTATAAATGGTGTAGTGGCCTCCATTTGGCTTAGATTGAATTGTTCTTCGTGGCGTTCGAGATAAAAAGTTTCACCGTTAGTTAGACGAAAATCAATCATTGCGGTTCTTTTCGTTATCGACGTATCGAAAAAAAGCCGATTAGGTGTTTAATGCCTCTGTCGAGAATGTGTACGGATGGCTGGAAGAACGGAATAGGAACAGGACACAGGGAAAGGGAGCGGACGGAAATTGCACGGGGGAACAGAGGTCCTTACGTCCTCCCGCGCGGGACGCCGAGGCAAAGTTTCTCGCTCTCTTAATATCTGAGAATCACTATTCAGTCTTACAGAAATTGCTATTGGCAGAACCATTAGAGGCTGGAATTAGTTTCGCGATCTCGGATACCTGGCGGCCGCGGGGGAACGCGGCGCGTAACGGCCGTTACAGCTCACTTATCTTACTTCCATACCTCGCATTAATACTTTCCGCCAACTCCATTTGCCCTCCCCCCCCCTTATTTCAGGAAGCCGCTTTTTAAAATCGCCACCTTCGAACTCGTATCGATACGCGATTTCCACCAACACCCGATACTGCGATTTTTTTCGAACGCTTCGTTTAAACGCTGAACATACGAGCACGAGATATTAGAGATTGTTCAAATATCCATTAAGTATCAAATAAATTTATTTATTGTGTTGCATATATGTATAACTAATGTACTAGATAATAGATGCAGTCTGTTTAACGTACAGTGCTTTAGAGAGAGTAATCAGGCAATTAATATTTAAACACTTTCGAAGTTAAACATTTTGTTTTTAGAATTTTGATACAACCAATGAAGTGTATTATGGCTTAAATTAGACTGATATGGAAAAACTGTTAGCAATTTTCGTGTAACAAAAACGTTAATAATCTATTTTTTTTATATTTTTCTCTCTCACATCGTTATCTATTTTTGAAGCATACTAGAAACTTTAGAATTCCGAAGAAGAACTATCAATTAGCAGTTAGTTAACTCATAAAGTTATGTGAAGTCTCTCAGGTTTTAGTATAAACTTTGTTTTCTAGTTCTTGTTTACACGCGAAATGAATTATTAGTTAAATATATTATATTCCACGCGGCCATTATTTAAAATTCATTTCTCACGTTCCTAAATGCCTCGAGTAAACGATAAGGACGACCAATATTACGTTAAAAAAAAACTATTTAAAGAAAGTTCTGAGAAAGTAGCGAGAAGAGAAGCCAAGTGACTTTTCCCATCTAAGAGTTAAGCCGAGGTAGCGTCTTATCCTTGCGCGTTATCCTGCCGCAAATCTCGGGGAGTCCGTCACCGGGAGCTCCTTAGTAATTCCATCGGTAAATCGGACGTAGCGCGAACGCATATCCTAGGATGGACAAACATAGATACCCTGCGCGCGGCCTATGAACGCTAGCATCCAGCGCCGAGTGCCGTGCCTGCGCCGGGAACGAACAGAGCCCCCGACACTGTACATACAATTGTATCATCAAGGTAAACACACCGACGTACGCTGACGTACGCGCACACACGCGGACAAACATCGTTCCGCAAACAACCTCGTGGCGTCATGGAAGCGCCGATGCTTCGCATAATGCGATGTATCCTCCGCTTCAGCGACGCACCTCTCGAGGGACGACCCTTCGCCACGAATCCGCGACTTTACCGCAACTCGTCGCGCGTTTTACATTGTAAAATTGTTAAGAGGATAGAAAAGTGGGGTGGATCGAAGCGGAAGCGAGGGCGAAGGGTGGGACAACATCCTGCCGAGCACTGGGGTGGTGTTTTTCGCGATGAAAATTGTCTCTGCGGAGATAAATCGAAGGATCTCTCGTTAGTCGCATCGCTCGTTTCGAATGCCCGTCCATGTCGGATAAAAATAAAAAAACGTTAAACGCTTCAGTCGGCAGCGCAAGATCATCTCTGCGAAGTGATTTCACTTCGCTTATGTTTCAACGACACGCTCGATAAGATCGACGTGTGATTCTGCGTATTGAAAAAGACAGTTTATAAAATGGCTTTGTGAGCTCGTAGTATAACGAATCAACGGGACGCACGAGTACGAGATAGACTTTTAACATGCTGCCTTCCTACAGTATCATAAAATTTAACTCTTTATGGGATCCTCAAACTCTTTAATGAGGCAATAAGCGACCATCCTCTCACGCACCGTTTTATAGACATTCGAGAGGTTCGTTAGCTCAGAAATAAACTCATACGAGAGCAAAAAATACAATTATTTTTTAGATGAGAAAAATCTACATATTATATTTCTCAAACGTGATTAATTAATTTGTTGCTTTTGTAAAATACTCGCAATATTAATAATAAAAAAAAAAACAAAAAACAAATAACAATTATAAAGCAAGTTTAATTTTTCTTATGAAATCGACAGTTAATAGCGAAAAACTGCCAAACGGCGTCGAGATATCAAGAATAATATCAACCGACCCGTTTAAATTTCTGTTATGTACAATGTGTACGAGCAATGTACACATAATAAACGTAAAAAGCGCAATACAAAATTAAACAGCTCTCATATCGACGAAAATTCTGCGCGAACGCGCTTTGATCATACGTAGTTATTCAAAGCGTTACACACGCGCTTTTGCGTCTCCCGCAAATTATGTGCATTAAAATAATTATGTGACTGCGGGACGACGACGGGAAATGTCGCGCGGGCGCGCTTGCGCGCGTCGCCGCAATCCTCTTTGCAATCTAATTACCGATTTTCTCTCGTTATTATGCAATCGACGTGCTGCGCGTGCGCGCATCATTGGGTTTCACTTTTGTCAGCGATACTAATTGGAAATTCTCTGTGTTGCGCTCTTGTGTCCTTTATGCGCATTAAATTCCCTCCCCCCGTTGCGAGAGGTTGGGAGCCCTCGATGCTGCCGGCGCTCCGCGTCGGAGCTTGTTAAAACGTTACTGCGGTTGTAAGTAAAGCGCGAAAGCAATTAGTTCCCATTTGCAATTTGCAGCGTTGTTTGATTTAACTCGCAGCGCTGCGATGCGGTGCGGCGTGTGAGCCTTAAGCGCACGTGCTTAAGCACACAGGTGACACCTGAATTAAATACTGGATCAGAGAACGCTGCAAACGCGTTCGAGCACGTTTGGCGAATTAAGAACCGTCCGTGAATGAAACAATTAGAAGGCTGCAAGCGCGCAGCGCGAGTACTTTAATTCAGTGTGGAACACGGCATTATACATAATTCAGGCTTTCCCTTCGGGCTTTTATCTCCATTCAATTAATGCCATCAAAAAGATAAATTACGAAAGTTACACGTTTATCATAATGGCGCGACCTTAGGAGGTGCGCCTTGCAGTAGTTTTCGCGATACTCAGCGTACAATATTCCGACAATTACTTTCATTCAGTCGCATCGCAGTCGAACGATGGCGATCATTAGCGATAACGTCGAAAATGATTAAATCGATTCGAGGCAAGTGAATACAGGCCCGTGCTTTAGGTCGATCATTTTTCATTATCCTTCGACTATTAATCACGGCGGTTTGATTGATTATGAGGCGGCGACAGTTTGGCGTAGACCGCTCTCATAAGTCGGTGATCAAACGCCAATTACGAGGCTTAGATCTTTATTCCCTCTTTTCCACCTCCCCCCTCCCCCCCCCTCCCCCTCGTGCTCACCACATCAGTTGCAATTAGGAACTTCTCCGCAAAGTACTTTGAAAAACGGTTTTTCGGTCGTAAAACACCGGTTACGAGTCGGACGATTTTTCGCCTCTTCTTCGGGACGATATTCATTACTGTGATTAAAGGGTCAGCTGAATGAATTATCTCGCGATTCGCAGTAAATACGGATTTGCGCAGTGGCCACGCGACGAGACGGTCATATATATTATTTGAATGCGGACAGCGCGTGATATCACTCTGATTAAAATGTAACGTACAATTTAATGAACCAATTAGTTAAGTGCAATAGCGAGAGTAATTCGCACCTGAATAATCTAAGTGATAAACTCGGCGCGGATTGGCGGTATTCGCCGACAATGCAATTCTCTATTCAAATTCGCCGATAAATCGCGCAATTTGCCGATAATAGTCGCTGAATTGCGCGTTATTTTTGGCAAGCCGGCGTGAAAAACGGCGCGTTTAGTGAATTTATATATATAGATAGTTAATTACGATATCCAAAGAATTAAACAGTAGCTCATGTGAAATTGGCCGTAAATCTGTTTAACAATCCCGCGGGACATAAAACGCTGCTATCTTATCTCGTAGCAGTAATCGCAGGTGCGTGTGTGTGTGTGTGTGTGTGTGTGTGTGTGTTTCGAACGTGCATGCACATGCGTGCGACATTAATACGGCGAAATCTATAAAAATGTCAAAAGACTCACAATCGTACGAGACGCTTCCGATCCGAGCGTTGTGCGTGACTCGGCGAAGTATGGATAAAGAATGAGGTGCCTTAAATGCGGACTGCTTCCGAGTTTTGCGCCATGATCGATGCAAGCTGAAACGGGTCTTCCTCAGCGGCGCATGCGACTCGCTCTGCCTGAAGTCGATTCACCTCGGCCAACGTCTTCATCCTGCCCGCACAGAGATTCGCCCCTTAAAATTTCCCAAAATAGCTCCAAATGCAAATACAGCCGTGTCTAATATTTTTCTTTTTTCGCATAATGGCAGAGATAGAATGGCGCGCACTCTTGGCAAAAAAAAAAAGGGGAAATAAAAGAGGACGGGGATGGCCTGGCAGATGTGTACCTACCTACCCGTTACATCCGCGATAATGATGAGTTTGCTGAACGAGGGGGCACTAATGGAACGTCGGTCGGACTCTCTCGCGCTCGTCAGAATGAAATATTTCACGTCCTCGTTCTTTTTTACAAGCCACTCGCGCTGCCTGCACAGCCCACGATAAAGATATACACGGACATTTACGGAACGAGGGCATAAAAGGCAGGGTTTAGCGCGCGGTGGATTTAATATACCCCTTTCGTACACGCCGCCGTGGCGTGCACGCACGCGTGCCACGTATAGCGGATCTAATCAGTATAGTAATTTCAATGATTTCCCCGACGTTTGTTCGCGTCTCGTGCACACTCCTCGCGTCGATCGCTATCGTTTATGGCGTAAAATGACAACCAGACGAAATTGAATCGTCAGACTTCGATGAACCGTCGCGCTTAATTCGCGAGGAATTAAAATTGTCTCGCCCCAGATTTCTTTTAGTAACATTAACGATTTTTAAATACAAATGTTCGCGTTTCCTGCATTTCTCGCATTGATTAATGTTGTTTATTTCATAAAAGTGACTTTTATAAACTTTAGCGCTTAATCCGCGACGAACTGAATTATCTCATCCAAGATTTCTTACAATAGTAACAATGATTTTTAAATATAAACATTCGCTTCTCGTGTATTCCTCGTCGTCTTTATCGTCTGTATCATAAAAATGCTAGATAGAATCGGATAATCAGATTCTCGTTTTAACTCGACGACAAGCTAAATCTCGTTACCTCAAATTTAATTGGTATATTCTTCTGAATATTTAATATATTAAGATAGATTTTTCGTTGAAACGAAACTGTTTCAAAATTTTGACGCAAATAAAATTATTATACCGATTACTCGATTGAGTTCTCACTTTGTCCCGGATCGGTTGTCGCGCAATCTCGCGCTCGTTAAAATTGATCGGTCGATCTGTGTGAAACTTAAAGCTTGGCTCGTTACCGCGACGTTCGCGATAATTCACGAATTATCATTGATCTCGCATGCGGCAAGCGTTGTCTAATTGATGGAGATCCCCACGACAAACAGATGCAAATGTCGATCACACGCAAGAGTCGTAAAAGAGGGTGAGAGCTACATTTTTTATCCGCAAGATTTATACATTAAAATTAATGGTATCGTACGAATGTAATATCAAGTTTAATTCTCGTTACAGCAATTGGATAAATGTCTGAAAAGAAGAACAAATGGATGTAGAAATAATTTGGAATGCAAAATTACGCACTTGATGTTTGTCGTAAAATTTCAAAAATACCCTTTCAATATTTAACTTTTAAAATGTCGAATAATTTCCGCAGAACAGTCTGCTCGACGCGCGCGATTTAATTCGATTCGATCAGTCTACTCGACCGACCTCGCGATCTATTTTCGCGAATAGATCACGCAGCGGCGCGAGAAATTTATCTCATGCTATATCCGCGCCGGTTCCTGCGGGAGGACCCTCTCGTCACGTTGCAGTCCACGTATATGGTCTATCGCAGACGACAAAAAGGAATTTTATTGTCGGGAGTCGCGGTATATTACGTTTCGAGGCAATTCGCGATTATTGGAACGTGTCACATATAATGCGAAACGCTGGAGGCCCGTGATTTACGGTTTCTATCGATGGATTTTCTAGATTAGCTGTTTGTATACGGCACTGTGCGCATTTTCATGGAACATCGACCGCACGATGTCGAAAGCAATTAAGATTTGTATTCAATATTATTCGCTGATTCACGATTACATAAGAGATAAGAAGTTTATCTTTCAAAATACGAAAATTTATCTTTTGTCTCGCAATCATTATATATCGAGGCTGATAAATCGCTTATTTAACAGTCAAATTACATTTAACTATTAAGTACTTCCGTTAATGCTTAATTAGTCGATATAGTAAAGATGATTAGCATCATTTTGGCGCAACACGCTGTCAAGGGGTTCACTGATAACTGTCTCGATTGAATCTGTAATTTTACCCTCGGGCTGAACCGAATTTTGCAAGTTAAGTCAAACGCGAACATCAAAGAGATTAAATTACGCGAGTGCGAGCCGTGCGTGAGAGCAAGTTAAATTACATTTAATCGAAAACTAATGATAAACTTTTCTGCTTGCTTTTCATCAATCGACAATAAAATTATGCTTCCACACAAACTCAAAGCTACTCTTGAATTCTCGTTTGTATTTCATTGCAAATTTTTAAAGTTCAATATTGTAATATATTGAGGCTAATATATATAATATATATTAATATATTAATAATAAATTATTATTATACAACTATTATGAAAAGTTTCAATTATCTATTTGGTAAACTAAAACTTTTTTGTAGACCATTTAAAAAAATTTCTTTTTATTAAAATTTTAATATCGCTTAATAAAATATTCTTCTATAAAATATTGTATATACAATTATGTATGTACATTATTTGATTTTGCACGTAATAGAATGCTTGAAATTAATAACAATTTTGCGCAGATGCGTGCATACTATTTTGTCATTAAACATAAATTAAATGGGGCAAACCGATTTTCATCCCCATTAATAAGTCCGGACGTGACTGGTATTTGAAATACAAGCGCGAGTAAATAGTCCTGCCATGCTGAGAGAGGATCATTGTTGTTATTAACATCCATGCAACATCTCTACGTTTGTTAAATGATTCGTGTCCGGGCATTTAACTCTAAGTTGGACAAAGCGAAACGCACGAATCACACGGCGAACTTTGTGTTATCCAAAACGCCATTAGGTGCTTTACATTGTCGAGTATGCTTCCGGAGGACAGTCACGTATATCGGCCGAGCATTTGAATACTCTCTCGATTACCAACATGTCGTTCGGAGCTCGGGCAACCGTGACATCCGCCATTTCCGGCCGATCCTATCCCACACTAGTCTTTCTGCCTCCCTCTCGTCGCTGTCCGAGCGAATTTTACGCTTGACAATTCTGCTCGTTTCGCGGGATTGTCAATCGCGAAATCCAGTCAGCAAAGTTTTTGAAGCTTTCCTACACTCGTCTGTCAGAAACAAATGGACTTGCTGCTGCTCATCTTGTATTTACGAAACAGTCAACGATGCGCGCAAATGACGGAATGGAAACGAATCTGGAATGTATTTTGGAATCGATAATTACAAAAAATCAATAACTTTAGCCTGCAATCTCTGTCCCACTTGTACGAAGATATCTTTGCTGTATACTCAAGCGTTCGAAAGATGTCAATATAATTGGCTCACGCTCGAGTTTATTAATGAGCACCGAGCTCGATTTGCCGACTTAAAGCGAGAATTTTGCACTCGATAAGAGTCCACTGATTTATCTCTTCGATATTTTCCGCGACGGCGATATTCTTACTCGGCCTTTTCCCTGCCAACATGGCTGCAGATGCAAGTAAGACAATATTGGATTTTTCTGATCTAAAGTTTTCTGTGTTTTTCTTCGTCTTATATATCGATACTCTGATCCTATTGAAAACAATCTCCGTCCGAGATAATTGACTCAAGGAAAATAACCGTGTTGACGAAAAAGTTGGCAGGTTAAATATGTTAGCAAGGACGATCGCTCGATACGAGATAATTGCTTCGGGCAAAGTCGCTCTGTTGACCAAACAGTAGCGATCGCAGCTAAATGGACGAGAGCAGAGCATTATATGATCTAAAAATCTTCTTTTCTCTTCAGAGAGAGATAAATGTTATATACTTATCAATTATGTAGAATCAAGTAACTTTATTATTTATACAATAAGCAAAAAAAAAGGAGTCGATTTTTTTATTAATCTTGTAAATATGTATAATATGTCAGCGTTAATTGAAGTATTTGTATCATACACATTCTGTAATCCTTTTCACTGCATAAATACGCGAATCGCTCTTCAAAGCAAAGAAAGAAAGGAAGAGGCGCGAAGACGGCGCTTAAGTACCGCGTACTTTAAGAGGATTGAAAGCACGCTGGCAGGGTTAGAGCGCAGAAAGTCTTCGAGGATTGTGAGTTTCTCCCTCGCGTGAAAAAATCTCACTGCGAGTCTAATTTGAACAATATATATCGCTCGCAATTAAGCCAACTTTCGCGTGAAAATCGCAACGAGAAGACTCGTCCGTTTTCCCTCGCTCTTTCGCCGACGTCGGCCGGCAGCCGTATATTTCTCGCTTAATGCACACGCGTTTTGCGAAACTCGGAAAACAATCATATCGAGTGAGCGGCGGCGGCGCGTTAGCGGCGATAATTTCTGTGATGGGTTGCTTATGAAGACTGGCGGTTATCCTCTTTGGAGATGCCGCGCGGCAATTACGGAACTCCGAATTTTCGGATTACGCTATTCAAACTCGAATATAACGAATTAGTTGCGAAACTAAAGTGAGAAAACGACGTCCGGACCGTCGCTTTCGCCATACATCGTTGCATACGTTCCTCGGACTTGCCGGTCGGTTAACTTTGATCTGTTCCCGGGAGTCGTTAGGTCCGCAGATTGCACGTGTCGCGCGCGTCCGCCCGCGTATAAGTGCAATCGCGCAGGCCGCCGGGCTTCCCAACTTTTAATTGTATTTGCGCGAACTGTCCTTGTTTCGGCGGGCCGCTATTATTTCGTTACACCCGAAAATACCGAACGGGTACTTTCCGCCCCGTTCGTTATCGAAAACGCGCGTCTAAGCGCCGCATCGGGCAAACCGTTCCCGAAGGGAGAGAGAAAGGATCTGCGCGGGCCGCTAAAGGAAACGATTGCAATTCTGCGGCACGGAGAAGGTAGGGTCGCTGTCGGGTACAAGCATTAGGAGGACTCGGATCGGATTGACATTACGTACTGGTGCAAGTTCTGTTATATCCCTCGAGAAATCAGCACAGTGCT